CCCCGAGTGATATGAATGCGAGGTGAAATAGCACCATGAAAGCTGAATATCGCTCAAAAACCCCGAGTGATATGAATGCGAGGTGAAATAGCACCATAATAGCTGTATATCGCTCAAAAACCCCGAGTGATATGAATGCGAGGTGAAATAGCACCATAAAAGCGTATGGTACTCCGCAGAAAAAGTAGATTCCGCCCCGTTATATTAAGTCACCCGGTGAGGAAAAAATATTCCGCTCCGTATTCATATATAGCACTCCGGGTTTTTAGGCCACTTATAGACTCAGGCACAGAATTTCATTCCAAATTTGATGAACAGAGATTCTTACTTGAGAGGTTTTTTATATTTGTTTATTCAGTAATTCAGATTTACATTTTGACTTAATGGAAAATTTGCACACACAAATTATATCACCTCATCTGAGAGTGCTTAATGAGCTGAGTTCGCAGAATTTTTTTTCTGATATGGGTAATTGGAGGCAAATGGATTTAAAAGGGAGAAAATGTGCCGGCTCGTGCGGCATCATCTGGCAGCATTTTCCTTTTGAATACATGTAATTTGCCAGATTCGGTTATTTCGTCATATTTCCTCCAATAATTTTTCAATTGAGAAACCAAGGATATCCTCGTGCTCAGTTTTCCTAGCAGTTTCATTTCAAACATAAAATTTACAAAATTTCAGACACCTGCAAATTCTCCATTATTCAAAAGATACATAGGTAACCGTACTTAAGTAGAGAAACTTAACTTAATAAAACCCCCGGGAGGGTTTTACATCGGGGGTGGTTGAGAGGCTTACAAAGTTTACATTGAGGTTCAAAAAGATCCTTACCGCAGCATCATAAAAAGCAAAATTTGGACGTATTTTTTCCAAACGAAAGTATGTGCATTATGACGTGAGCCCTGTAATGAGTATATTTTTATGGGTTTCAGGGCTCATGTCATAATGCACATAATTCCATACGTAATACGTAAATTCCATAAATACGTCCATTTTTGCAAACCTCGAGTACAATTCAGCAGTATTTTGGAAATGGGTCCTGGAAGGGATTAAATTATTGATTTACCACCACAAAAATACGAAACACGAAAGAAAATATAATGTCAGTTTTGTGAATTTAATGAAAAGATTGGCCTACCCTACAGTTTGTCAAAAATATAGAAATTTACCCTCCGTACTTTGTACTTTTAGCAGTGGAAAATCATTGTAATCCCTTGTAAGTATCCATTTACAAAGTCGTACTTCTGAATTTTACCCGAGATCGGCGAAAATTGCCCTTTCTCTGACGCATATTTTGAAGGCTCTCTTAAACCTCTCTCAGTCGCAATGTAAACCTATTGGAGGCTCTTGAGGAAAGGAGCTGTCTAAGGAACGAATATGAATACGGTCCATTGTCGACATCATAGACCAAGAAAGACCTTCTTGGCAATCTTGGCAATGGTGGACACGCGCACTTTTAGAACTTTAACACTCAATTGTTGACCTGCCTACTTGATGGATGTTCAACAACGTGTTGAGTATTACGTTTTGCTAACAAACCGAAGTTTGATAGACTTGTGCGGTTCATGACATCACCTGGAGCTTATTATCCACCTAGTAGAAGGTCAGGTTAACATCCAAAAAAAGGGTGATGATTGTTGCTCCCTTATAATTTGACTTATGAAAGTTTCTTATGAAAATCTCCGAAAGTTAAAACGTCCATCTGTCGCCAAGAGGTCAGTGCCGCCGTGCTAAGGAAGGATGCCGTATGAGCCTCCAGACATTGGCAAATTTTGTCTCAGAAAATATCTATTTTATAGGAAATTAACGAATTTTTCCTCTAAAATTTTCACAAATATTAAATTATATTCCAAACAAAATTCTGCAAATAGTCGGAAGAAAAACATCCACAAATTTTCCCGAAAATTTGGATTTGTCAAAGGAAATTTGGCAACGTCTGAAGGCTCATACGGCGTTCCTCCTTAGCACGGCAGAGTAGAGGGTCTCTCTTTGTCTCCGGTCCAGTGGCGTGGCGTGCTTTGCGATATATCGATTGTCATGCCATTTAAACCTATGGAAAAGGATTGATAGACAGGGTGTTCGCAGCGAACACCTTAATAATCGATTCTTTACCATACGATTAAGTAGCATAACAATCGATACAATTCACGCCACGTCACTGCTCCGGTCAACATCCACGTTTTTGCTTAGGCTCTTCGGCTGACCCGCTACTGCGTCAACGACGCCATGGAGGAGGGCTGGCAACTGAGGGCGGTCAAGGAGTCGATCACCGAAGAAGTCCGTCAGAAGCGGATCGCGCTGGCGACGATGCTGGTGGATCGCGACCTGCCCTACGACCTCCTCTGCAACCTGGGGCACTGGTGGAACTACATCCTCTACGGAAAGCGACCCCTCCCCTGGTGGCCGAGACACTGCCCTCTCGCCAAGAGTTGGGACGACTTCACCGTCGAGCAAATCAAGTCCGGGGAATTCGAGCTCTCCGATGGCTACGGACTCCACCACGATTTCCCGGTCCAACTCGAATCCGACGGAGTTTATTTCGAGTGTTTCGGACCCAGCATGGCCCGCCGAGCTACCCTCCCGAAGCGACTGTCCAAGGTCTCGTCAAGGTCAAACTTAAGGTCGTCATCGAAGTCCTCATCGAGGTCGCTTTCGAGGACCGTCGACCGAGCAAGGTCCTTGTCAAAGACCCTAGCCGATGCTGTCGGCCCCTCTCTGCAGATGAAGGAGCGATCAGTAAGCGTCAACGGGAACTGAAGAGCTTCTACATGGACGTGTTTCTGCTAAAAGGAACCAGAGACGGATGGGAAAGAAGGTGTGTGCTCGTTAGTCGAGGGCCGTAAGAATGGATGGGAATTATGAAGCGCCAGTGACGTCAGCGCGGGACGAGGAGATCGACGTCGTAGCTTTTAAACTCATGAGCCCTGTTTACAACGCTATTAATTAGCATATGCCCACGGTTCTTGAGTGCCGCTTATTCTGGCGTCAGTTCGGGTTGATTTAATGTAAAATCCCACTCTTTCATTTCCGGGAAAGGAATCAAATCCTCTTTTACATTGTTTCTTATGTAGCTTTCTAGAGCACACCCCATATCGACGGTGAAACTACCAAACCACGTATCTCGGTTTGCGACGTCGCAGACTTCCTGTCATACTTTATTTTTTAAATGAAAAGCTACTTAACGTCCAGTCTTGAAAATTTCCGTGATTTTTCCTCTTCGTGCGGAGAAAATTCCGTGAAAATTTCAAGGAATGATGTTGATTTGGTCTACTTCAAAAAAATAAAATGTGAGCGGAGATTTTTAAACGTCGCAAACGAGATACGTGGTTTGGTAGTTTCACCGTCGATATTTCCAACACGTCTCTGATTCAGGAGCTATGTCCATATAACTTTATAGAACTTTCTTTTATGATATTTCTACAGTGAGTACTTGCAAATGTGCTATTCTGAAGTGCACCTGGATCTTTTATAAGTAAAAGGAATATTTAAATACAAAAAAAAATTCTAAATATTTTGGAGTATTTTTTTTCTCACGGAAAAATTTGGATTTTTTTGGCCATATAAACATTAAAAAAGATTAACGAGATAAACATTTAGTATTTTCAATTTTAGAGGGAATTCAATTAAAAACACTTATTACCAGCTAATTTGCTGCCTACAGTCGTGGTTGAATTTACGGTTCTTAAATTGGTTTGCTTAAATTGTACATCAACAGTTAAAGATGAAGAAATTTAAAAATGATCAGAAATGTCAACATGGCTTAAAATGTAAAATCTATGAAGATATTGCCCAAAAAAAAGTCGACAATTCTTGCCTTTTTCATATTTAAACATTTTACGCAAAAACTTGGACAAGGAAACGAATTTCATTCATCTCCAAACGTATAAAGGGTCTCTTGCATGCAAGATATGCAGCCAACTTAACACACTTTCTCACAGTAAATTCGCTCTAAAATCATGTTGGGCACATAAAAAAATCTGAAATCCATTCCCTAGCGCGCAATCTGCGTAGGTTGTAACACGCTTTTTCAAATTGACCGCGTATGCGGGCAGTTTTTCTTGGTGGCCGGCAGTCAGGTTTGCCCGGTGAGAGACAACCTGAGTAAACAACCAACCTCGCAAACTGGTATTATCTCTCTCTGCGTAAGATTTCAGTTGATTCAAAGCTCTTATTTCCGCAAAATGAAGAAGAAAAGGAAACAAACGCTTGAAATTGATTGAGATCACAAAATAGATAAAGCTAGTGAAATCGTCCGTTTACTCATACATATATTAATTTTTTTTACTCCTCTACCTGTGCAAATCTGGTCGATGATGACTAAAAAAACTGCCCGCAGTCGTTGGAAAAGCGTGTTGCAAACTGAGCAGCTTGCGAGCAAAGGAATGGATTTCAGCCTCAACGTGCCCAAATTGATTTTCGTGTGATTCAACCCATGAAAAGCATATTTATTTGGCTATACCTCTTGCGTACAACAAACCTATTGCTGCATGTAACCAACAACAAATAAGTATCTGAATTTGGAGAGAGCTCGTGAAGGTAGACACTAAAAGCCTCAAACACATGCTCTTGAGAGTGCCCAAAAATTGGATTTCGCAATACTTTCCATTATTTTTTTCTGATGTAGGGAATAGTATAAAAAGGAAAAAAAATTAAAAATGTGAAAGTGCACCACCTAGTAACGTTATCTGGCAGCATTGCCCGTTTAGGCACACGTGTTTTAGTACATTAGATCGTTTTGTCATTTCTCTTCCATTAATTTTTCGATTCTTGAACCAAGGGTACCATCGTGTGCAGTTCACTCAGTAGTTTCAACTTGAACACGAAATTCATCCAATTTCAGATACCTGCAAATCCTCCATTCCAAAGTTACTGTTTCAAAATTCTCAGAGTGTGAGATAAAGTAAAAATATATTGGTATTATGTGCTGCGCGTTCGGTGAATTCGTTTTTTTGTGATAACCACGCACGAGAACAAAAACCAACTCACCTCAAACATTAAACTACGCATTGCCGGAGATCTGACCTACTGAAACACAAATATCGACAAGCACACACGGCAAAAACAGTCAAACCTCAAATTTTGAAGGACGTTTTCCATCCCCGATCAATTTTTCCGGGCGCTTTCAATCACAGTCTTCGTCAAGTTTCATGACGTTGTGCTATTTTCAGCTCAAGTTTTTCCTTTTTTCAATTTTTTTTTTTCATGAACATGCGTCTATCCTACGAGATGATGGATGTGACTGTTCCGCGAATAGTTCGGTGACTCGTAGTAACCCCTAGACATCCATACCAATAAAATCTGCGTGATACTTAGTGGGATTCAGTGTAAAATTTTGATTCGAGATGAAAGTTGAGCACGAAAGTTGTCGTGATAAAACTGGTGAGTCCAAATTCAAATTAATTTTTTTTTGTCCTGACCTTTACTATGAGAAAATCGATGTATTTGGAGTGTAGTTCAGTGCCTCTACTTTTTATCAAGGTGACCGTTCTGATTCATCGGGTAAGAACTGCCCTTTGCGGGCTGATTTTTGAAATTGATAGGTGAAGCAATAGACAAAGATGACATAGGGAGTAGGTATGGAGCTATCCTATTGGTTGAAATTGGCGGTTCTTGTCGACTAAGGACGGGTCACCCAGTCCTATCGGGTCTCTCGTGGGTCCATTACTTACCTCCTTTATCTATCGTAGCCACCTGCTTCCACCAATATGATCGCCCTATTATGCCTCTGTGTTTTATGTCTATCGCTTTGTCCATTAAATTTAATGGTCGTCGACTATCGGTATTTTCTTATTTGAAGCCATTTTACAGAATCGATTCTTAAGGTATATTCTGACAATCGATACTTTCCTCTTGGTTTAAATGACCTATTCATCGATTCGACGCAAATCACGAAACACCATTGGAATCAGAAGCACACGAATGCATTATCTTTTTTCACGCTCAGAGGAGTGGAAGAAAACCGCGACAATTCTTTGGAATGCTAATTTTTTTGGAGCTGAATTCAGAATAGTGTGACGAAACCTCAAAATTTCCAAAGCCTAAAGTCGTCACCAGCCTGTGCCGACAAAAATTTCTTTGATCGTGGCTCTTTTTCATCGCTGTTCTCCGATTTCCCTGCAATGAATTATCTGATTCCAGCCATATTTCTAGGGCTTATTTCGAAAATGACATTCGTTTCGCTAGTCCAGATCAATTTTCCTCGCAAAAATTGGAAGTTTCCATAAAAATCGAGGTTTTCCGAGAGAAAAATCCTTTTCCCGGATTCTCTGTACACGATAGTCTTTTCGAACGTCTTTTTCGGCTTCAGCCGTAAATAGTAAGTGGAATTGACTTCACTCGTCACCTGAGAAAACAATTTTTCCCAACCTTTGTGACGGAACGATCGGATGAGTTTTTTTACACGGTGTAACATGGGCGAAAAGGAGCACTTGTCCGGAAAACCTCGATATTAGGAACAGATAGGAAGCTTTAATAGGCATGCAAAACCATGATATTATCTTATCTCATGTAATGTTGACTGTTGAATCTGAAAATCGCCTTACTTTTTTCCATCGAGCACAGATTTATCGGAAAATTGTTTCTTCTTTGAAAAAAGTTCCATTTTTAGGGAAAATTTGCGATTTTTCAGAGAAAATCGCAAATTTGAAAGGTTGAAATTCGATGAACAGTGTCATTAACCGTGTTCAATTATTATCTCAATTCCGGTTAAATACTCGATTTTTACTTAATTTCTCTCTCCGCAGGGCCGGATTTACCTACTTGCCGTCCACGGGCCGCTAGTAATTTGCCGCCCCCTTCTCATTCGTTTTGAAACATCAGTGAAAATTATCAAATGAACGTGCCAACGGGGGAGGGGTGCATGAGACGCGTTTACTGGTGTTGAACACATTTTTGGGAAAGCCCTGTCAACAGTAGCAAAAGATTACGGAAATTTGCGCGAAAGTTAATTTTTGTAAACCAATCTCTGTGTGGACAAGGCCTTCCATTCATAAGATAAGAAATGAACGAAAAAATTATGAAAGAACAAACATAAATGTGGATTAATGATTTTAACTTCCGCCGCCGCGCCTCGCAGACCGCACGGTTGTTGACGCAATGCGTGAAGTATTCACGCAGTCTTGTAGGCGCTATGCGTCTCACGCTGATCACACTGTGTTCGCCGCAATGCGTGAGGTATTCATGCATTCTTGTAGGCGCTATCCGTTTCACGCTGTCCGCAATGACCGCACTGCCGCACTGTGTTTGATGCAATGCGTGAAGTATTCGTGCAGTCTTGTAGGCGCTAATATGTTTTACATGCCGATCGCCGCGCCGAGGGCTTCTCCTTTTCATCTCAAGTCCTCGTCATCATTTCTCTCTAGGTAAGTCGCCGCCGTTCCAGGCCAAATTGCGTGTTTGGTTTCTCTCTTATCTCGACTAATTAAAAGTGCTGTCTCTTGTATCACTGAAAGACGACAAAAGTAGTAATTACTATACTCTCAGAAAATTAGAGATTTTGTTGCCTTTTCTCGTTTGTAATTTTTTTTCTAAATCCGAATTATTTTTATACCTACATTTAAAAAAATTGCAAAATTTGTCGCCCCCTATAGATTTGCCGCCATGGGCCGCGGCCCATGTGGCCACCCCCTTAATCCGGCCCTGTCTTTCTGCACATACCTGTTGTGAGAGCGTGAGAGTTAAAGACGGTTACTCCGCAAAATCCGCAATTCTACCGAGGGATAAATCCCATAAAAACGTACCGTGTGGACAAGGTCTTGATTCCATTTCGATTTATCCTCATTTGATTGTAACGCATGCATTAATGGTCTACCTTAAAACGTTCTTTATAAGGAGGCGACGAATTCTGAAATCTCAATAAAGAGTTATGAGTGGATTCGTTTTTTTTAAAATTATGATATACTACGTAATTTTTTTATATAGCGGGGCAAGAGAGAAAAACTCCTCCCACTGGATCCCCAATGATTTTCATTTTTGTGATTTTTTTTCATTTAGTTCTGTACGGCTTACAAATGAAAATTTAGTGGTGCTAAAATCTCATTTTTGGAAAAAAATGGGCCTTTTAATCATATACAGCGAGATTCTTAAGCCCTGCACTACCAGCAACTGCGAGCTGATTATTGAACTTGATAGACAAAGTGACAGATAAGGAAGACAAGGAGGAGATGCAACGATCCTATTGGTTGAAACGGTGCGGTTGTTTCAGATTAAAAGGAAAATCCTGGACTGACGATAGGATCTTTCTCGGGTTGCCGTTGTTAGTTTGTCTAATACCCTCCTCTGTCCATTGCAACCACCTGCTTCCACCAATAAAAGTGCTCCATTCTCGGTTGGTCTCCTTGGTCTATGTGCACGGAAAAAAAACTTCGGGCGTGGGACCCGAAGTCTAGGTCATATGGATCTCTGAAGTCTTCGGATTGAGCATCCGAACACTTTAGGTCCAGCTGCTGAGGTTTGGATCACAAATCTGAAACTTCAATTCTTACATCTGAAGTACTTCGGTTTTCACATCCGAAAAACTTCGGTTCTCTCATCCGAAAAACTTCGGTTCTCACATCTGAAGTACTTCAGAGGTAAGAACTGGAGTTTCAGATGTGTAATCCGAACCTCGACAGCTAGACCTAAAGTGATCAGATTCTCAATCCGAAAACTTCAGAGATCCATACGACCTAAACTTCGGGTCCCACGCACGAGGTTTTTTTCTCCGTGTATTTGTCTGTCAATTTGAACAATCAGTCTGCCGGCACTAGCCTTGTAACTTCTGAACAAATCGAGAGAGAAATTTTCACTAGACATTTTGTAAATGCTTCTAGATGAAAGAAAACCACTTTTGGGATCTTGTATATTCGAGGAATCTCTCTGAAGTAAGCGAATGTTTTAAGAGTTATATGGGCGGTGCGCCGCGTTGGTGCGGTTGGTAGCTGAGGTTTGCAACTGGCCCATTCCCCAAAAATCAACCAACTTGTATTTGGCACCGTGCGATGCAAGAACATCGTAAATCCATTACTTAATCATCCGGTGAAACGGTCTATCGTGCGCATTCCATTGAACATTCATCTTTCCCTATTTTTGGAATATCTGCGTCATACCATTGGTAATGTAACATACAGCGCTTAGGTGACATGTTTTTTTTTTAATGAAACAGTTTCCAGGGAGGAAAAAATTGAAAACCGAGGCTAATGACAATGCACCACTTTTGCTTGTGACGCTCTTTATGGAAGTTCACGTCATATCTCATTAAAAACGAGATTCACACGTAGAAAAGGGGCTATCATACAGGCGGTCTAAGTGAATTTTTTTTTAAAATCAGAAAAAATCGTAGCACTGAATAAAAATGGTGGTACTTATGCTGAAATGCACTATGCCCATACGTATCAGTAGCGCGGTGTACATTGCGATATATCGATTTATCTGCCACTTAAACCGTTGGAAAAGGGTCGATTAACAGGATGTTCGAGACGAACTTCTTAATAATCGATTCTTTACCACAGCTTCAAATGGGGATGTACCGATAATCGATCATTTACGCCTCCTCACTGATACGTTTTAAATCGAAAGACATTCTTTAACCATGCAAATCCTATGGATACTATTCCTTTGGATTTAATCCAATGATACATAAGTCTTTTTTGCATAAATACGTTAAAAGCAGGTACTTCAAGCAGGGTCGCAGCATTTTTCTTCTCAGGAAAAATGAAATTAATGAAAGTCTAATGACGATGACGCTTTTAATTTTTTTTTTTACCTTACTTAACAACGCGGAAAGTCCTTTTATTCTGAAAATCGTCACATACATTAGTCCTTCAGGACATAGGAAAAAAGTGCACCCACTTTTACATTTCATATAAAACCATCGTGCGCTCTTGAGTGTGGATCCTATGGTCCATCGGTATAAGTGCGGCGCTTTAGATTTTGACGAACAAGCATTCGTGTCGGTGTATCTTCGTGGTTTAGATTAGAACAGTTGAAATGAAGTTTATTAAAATCAACTTAAACAAACGACATAATTTTTCAGTGCATTTAAGTGAAAGGATTTTCGCAACGGTCTGAAGAAGGCCTTGCGAATTTCCTGAAACCAACTTACAAGTTTGCGCTTTCATCCTCATTCTCTTAGCTTATCAGGCAAAACTGAAATCGAAATCAAATATATAAAAAAATCGATGTATTAAGATAGCTGAACTGTGTAGTGTATTTGAGTGCAGCAATTTTTCCAGTGGTCCTAGAAAGAATTTGAGACTTTCGTAAATTTAACTTAAGCCATCGTGCTTATTGAGAGCAATTTGCCTCTCAGAAATCCCCACACACCCCTCAGCGTCCGCGTTTTTTTTATAAGTCAACCCCTAAACAGTCGATTTCTATCGAAAAAATAAAATGAGAGTAGACACCCTAAATCACCGCAATCGAAATATTCGCCCTCCAAGTTCAGCCATCGGTACGTGCCAATTTTCACTCATTGTTTACTTCCTATTCATTTGCTGTCCTCTGCTCCTAAACCAAACCACAGGAGTGTTCAGCGCAGCAGCACAGAACGTAGCAATCAGGGATGCATCACCGATTAACAAAGTCAAACCCTCACTAAAAACAGGATACCGATGGATCGAACAGCTTCAAGAAACCGGTGAGCTTCAACCTGGTTTCGTGTTCCTCCACCCGTGGTTGGACAAAGTCCTCATCTTGGATAACGGCGATATAGCTGCAATGGAGAAATTCATCTGTCCTTTCCAGGCGACCATCACACTGACCCGTTTCAAGACCGCGTCAGTAATTTCCTCCGGGTGGCAGCTCCGGAAGATCCGGGGGGATAACCCGGATGAGCGTACCCGGCGAATGCGCGTGGCCCTAGCGGAAAGGCTCGTCGACCGATGCATCCCTTATCATCCTTGCTCCTGCAGCGTGTCCTATTGGTGGGGATACATCCTCCACGCGCGACGACCGAGATTGTGGTTCTTGAGTGCCTGTCCGATGGCCACGTCGCTGGAGAAAGTTACACCAGAGGAGGTGTCTTCTGGCAAATTCGTGTTTACGAGTGGGCGCGGGGGTAAATTTAAGGATTTCCCGAAGATTGACCTGAACCATGACGTTAATTTTGGGTGTTTTGGGAGGGCTTTGCGGTGGAAGACGGAGCCTATGTGTTGTCTTTTAAGTTAATTTGATTCGTTGAATAGAAAGGCATTCGGAACATAAAATTATAAATATTATTTTAGCTGGAAGTATGTTATTCATACTATGCAATATCGTTTAAGATTTTTTTTTTTTTTTTTTTTTTTTTTTTTTTTTATCATTAGTTCTTCCGTGAGATATGTTGGATGCTTCGCAGTCAGTAACAAGATGTAATATAATAAAGAATTCAAAGAGCGGGTAACACGGCTTTTCACGCAAATGGCACCAAAATGTTTCGGCTGAAAACTCAGCTTTCGTCAGTTGATAAAAAAACAAAATAATTGTTCATCCTTGCGGTGGAGTGCAGTGCAATATTGGAATGTGACTAATCATGAAAAAACGGCCTTTGGGTGGAAACTTTTTTAGGAGGTTTCATACAAATCAAATTGTGTCGGAGACTTTGAATTTTATTTTTCGACGGAAAACTCTATTTGATATCTCAAAAAAAATTTAAGAATTGTTTCTATCATGTTTCTCCGTGCGATTTTCCGAATTATATCTGTTTTCTTTCAAATTACAGAAATGACACTTTCGCGCAATAACCTTAAAATTATGAAATTCTAAAAGCACAGAGAAAGGGGAAAAATACCTTAGTAACAAAAGTACGTGTGTTTTAACTATGTGAAATGGCAAACCAACATTTGTTTCGACAGATCTTTAACTGCTGTTTATCGAAACTGTTAAATCGACCTTCCAAAAAATATTTTCTTCGGAACCGATCTTTGAATCGAATCGATACTCTCCGGTCGATTCAGGGTGATCTAGAGAACCAATTCGCAGCCCGCAAACCGCCACTATTCAGTGCAAATTGATCATTAACAAGGTACGAATTTAAGCATTTACATATTTCTTGGCCAGATTTTCACTTAGAACATGATTTCCGCATCAAATATAAATGAAATCAACTCCTGGCCAAGAATCTTAGTCTGAGATATTAACGATTTTACATAGCGAAGTGTTCCTTTCCTACCCTTTATTCTTCAAAGTGTGAACAATTTTCCCTGAATCACAGCGTCAAAATTGAGGTTGCGAACTTTTCATACCGCAGAGACTGTCATGGTAGCGATTTGACCCAGACTCACGTGGAACATTTCGTTTTCATGAGCGAGAGGTTTGAAAGCGCACGTCTACACCCTGGTAAAAATTGGCAGTAGAATGTGTGTTCCAAAATACTACAGACCTAAAGCCGGCTGTAAGATTTCCAATAGCTTCTGTAGCCAGCTGTACAATTTCTTATAGCCTTTTATAGCCGATGGCGATTAAGCAACAGCCAGACGATACATTTTATGCTAAACGTTACTAAATACGGATACTAGGACTTAGTTAGTTTTTGGACTACCGCTCTCTTTTTGTGCCCTCGTATCTTGATTTATTTTGTGAGGAAAGCTCGGTACTTTTGAAGGATGCCTGTCATTCTTAATATGTTAGAGCGCCTTCAATTTCTTATGATACTGTGCAATACCTCTGGTGTGAAATAGTTGCTTCAGACGCCGTGGCACGCTGCGGCGCGGCGGGCGGGCAGAGAGCGCGAAACGCGCATTAGCGCCTACAAACCTAACGGGGATACTTCACACATTGCGCAATGCGTGAAGTATCCCTGTTAGGTTTGTAGGCGCCAGTGCGTCGCCGCTCCGCTTTGTGTTATGCTCTAATATTTAATCTCACGGAGTCAGCGTTATTCAACTCATAATTTTGAAATGTTTGCACACTCTGTGTGGGCTATTCTCATCTTAATTGATGAAAAAAAAATATGTTTCAAAGGAAAATATAATGTGTGTTTTGTAAATATTAAGGTAGTTCCGTATCAAACTTAATGATTTCCAAAGCACACGAATTTCTACACAATTTCGTATAGCCTTTTATAGCCAATGTCGATAAAGTGTAAAGCCCGGCGATAGGAACTATAGCCCGACTGTATACTTTTTTATAGCCTCGTATAGCCCGGCCATATGATTTGCTCCGCTTTCTACAGCCAGTTATATTATTTTCAATAGCCTTCTTTAGTCGGCTATAAGAACTCCTGTGGTATTTTGAAATGCAGCTCCTATCGCCAATTTTTACCAGGGCACTGATAAAAATATTTGTGTTCTTAAGAGATGCAACACAAACTAACACAAATTTTTGTTGATTATGGTACAATTTGTGGTGAATTTAGCGCGGAAACCAATGGAGAGACCAGGATAACGCATTCCTCAGATTGCGACTTTGGTATTCACTACTCGTTTTTTATTGAATTTCTCTCAGAAAACTAGCCGGAGTTTTCTCTTGAAATTGTCAACCAAAGGCTACGTTGATTTTGTGTTTTATTTCCCCTATTAACCTAACTCTTGTGTCGAAATTTGTCTCTACGTAGGAACATTAAATATCTTGATTAGGGGTCAATTTCAGTAATGTTCGTTACGCGAATCGTATTTTATGGCAAATTTTGGTTGAGAAACATGTGGATCGCATTTAGCAAATAGGAACCTGCGCAATCGGTAACAGTGATGTGAAAATGTTGCTTTTTTATATTTATTTAAAAAATCTCTTGGAATAGCAAATAGTTTTTGACTCCCACATAAAAAATGTGAACTTTAAAGAAAAATAACTCAGTAAATTTCAATACTGTACATAAATTTTAAGTATTTTTTGAAAAAAGAAGAATTTGCACGATTTTGACAACACTGTGATAACGCTGGTTCCATTTTCTTAAATGCGATCCATGGATCAGAATGCTTAGCTCATAAAGTACATAGTCGTAATCAATAACATTGAATCACGTAGACAGTGCATTCTGTGTTAGGGAAGGCGCGACAACTTTAAAAAATTCGAATGCCGATGAGTGGTGGCACCGACCCGCATCGATGAGTTCGTGTGTCCCAGCTGCGCACATTTGCGCATGCGCAGTAGCGATTCCAGTGAATTTTTGTCGAATTGTGAGGCTTTTTTTCTCGGTTAGTAATTAGTTCGGCAAAATGAAACATTACTATTCGGTTGTAAAGTTATAAATTCTAAAACTTTTTTTTAGGAAATTTGTCTGGAAATGGACTCTAAACGAGATATTCGGGAATGAATAGCGGTAATGAATTCTCCATTGCCCCTCTGCAGTCTCTTCGAGTGCTTGGAACATACGCTCTCTCTCCTTCCCCGCCCGCCCATCATGGGGCTCCGAGAGACTTGACTAGTCGCTCCGCCTGTACTAAACCGAGCCGGACGCACGGTCTACGTGATTCAATGTCTTTGGTCGTAATGTAAGTGGGAGAGCTGGAGCCACTTTTAAGCTTTTTCCAGGTCCCGAATTTCGTGGGACGTCGGGTGTGTGATGACCTATGTGACGCCGGGTCACTTTTTCGATACACAATCGTTTGACTTCGATACACGGGGACCCGGCCATCCGATGTAAACAAAGAGGATAGGAATCACTACGTATTCCACACCCCCACTTTGGATCGAACATGTATCGAAAAAGTGACCGAATCTCGGCGCACACCGGGCTCGGAACTCGTGGACCGAAACACGGCGCCAGCTCTCCCATTTACATTACGACTCTACTCTATGGCCTAACCTCGCACCTCGTCTGGTGGTCCATTCTCACTTCATTTTCCTTTCCAGCTCGCTGCATCCTGATACTACTCCTGTATGTTCAAGCAACTTCGGGCTCACCTAAGAGGAGTCTGACAATCAGCGGCAGCCAGACTAGACCGACTCGGCGTCTACCACCGGAGAGCGGCTACGAATACCTGGACACCCTTGCAACTGACGGCCGTCTCCAGCCCGGCTTCGTGTTCTCCCACCGACACTACGGGAAGCTCCTCATCTTGCCCGACCAGCGCGTGGCTGTCATGGAGGCGGATGTGTGCCCGTTTCAGACCAGGGTCGAGATATACAGCGTCCTCATATCCCAAATCATCGCATGCAAGAACCCGCAAGTCAAGCAAATTCTCCGTGGTGCTTCGCAAGAGACATTGAATATGCGAGTGGCCATCGCCCTGAGAGTCGTGAGGTAAGAGCGGGATGGTTATCAAAATTATGGTTAGACAAAGCGATAGACATACAGGGTGGCCAAAACGAGTGGTCATCGCCCTGAAAGTCGTGGGGTAAGAGCAGGACGGTTATCAAATTGGTAGACGAAGCTATAGACATACAGGGTCGCCAAAAGTTGAGAATCTTGAATTCCCCGATTTTCCCTGACCTTTCATAAAAAATTCCCTGACTTTTAGACTCGAGAAAAATTGTGGACTCTTAAACTCATGAGCCCTGTTCACACTCCTGTCACATGTCCACGGCTCATGCGATAGCATATTTTGCCGCTTAATTCCTTTTAAATCAATGTCAAATCCCTCTTTCCCAGTATCTCAAGAGGAATCATACATTGTTTCTTATGCAGCCCAAACAAGCACACTTCATCTTTTCCACACGTCTCTAGTTCCTTTTAGCATATGTGCGTCAAATTTTGAGCTATTACACCGAAGAATTGTTCAAATTCCAATTTCCAACATGAGAGATATGTCATGCGTTTACTTAGGAAAATCCTTCACATTTCTTTGCAAACCAAGTAGATTTCTGAGGCCCCGGCCTTCGTATTGCCGCCCATACGCACGTCCCGTTCCATTGTAAGAGTCTTACTATAAAATGGACGTATTTATGCTAGAGGGAACTAAGTGCATAGAATTTGCATGTAGCATAGTTACTTTTAGCATATTTCGTCCGAATGTAACTACATTGAGATAAAAATATGCACTGAGAAAAAACTATGGTTATAATTACCATATTAGTGGTGTTCAATATGCACTCTTAATTAGTGGCCATAACCAATAATACTGATATTTTTACTGGAGCAATCGTAATTTTACGAGTGTTCGGTAGTGAAATTACCATTTAATGGTAAAAATATCTCCATTATTGGTTATGGCAACTACTAATTAAGAGTTCATATTGCACACCACTAATATGGTAATTATAACCATAATTTTTTCTCAGTGTGGGTAGATTTTACTATACTCTGACGCAGTGATATGAGTATGGTAAGAAACTCTAGACTCTTATGGTAGCATGTACCATATTATGGTAAGTATCACCTGAGTTCTGGTGAATACTACCATAATTCTGGTTATTTTTACTAAATAGTATTACTGTGTAAAAAATGGAGTAGACTCATAGTAGATGTTACCATACTTTTTTTCAGTGTATCTGCACATGCATCTAAGATCTTGTTATGTACAGTCTTTGGGCTTTAATTAAGTGTGTATTTTTCTTTGTTCTTCTATGTCAAGACGTCACTTGCCATACCACCCGGTTTACTGCAACAAGACGCACTGGTGGGACTTCATTCTTCACGGGAAGCGCCACACCTCGTGGTTTATGCACTCATGTCCTTTGAATCGGTCTTGGGTCGGGTACACGGCGGATGCCGTCACTGACGGACGCTTCACATTTTTGGATGGGCGGAGTAGAGAACTCGCCGATTTTCCTCATTGGGATATGGAGGCCGAAGGAACGGTCAATTTCTGTTGCATCGGGCGAGGACTCCGTTTCGTGCCCATGCCAACATGGCTACGGGACGACGGACAAAAAACCTGGCAGTTGAGTACCTGGCAGTACTAGCATCTTTCCGGGAAAGAAGTGGAACGCGTTTAGCAGAAAGAAACCATCGGCTATGGCCATATCTATCTAGGCATGGGCGTAGCTAGGGGGGTCCTGGGCCCCCCCCCCCCAGAAAAACGGGATCCTTCATTCCTCACCCTCCCCCGCTCTCTTCACCACGAGAGGTGGTCCCATGCCCCCCCCCCCCCAGAGAAATTTCCTAGCTACGCCCCTGTTATCTAAGCAATCTGAATTTTTACGAGAGAGCGTTGGTAACGATTCCTTTGAAAATTTTAAGGAATTTGCTTCGTACTGTCCAGAAAATTCACTGAAATTTGCGCCAAAACCCGCACCAACGTTCTCTTGTAAAAAATTAAAGTGCTTTGTTTTTGGACGCATTTCTGTCAAACGGAAGCAGAGATGCTGCGACAGAAGGGGTGCGCTCCTTAGTTGAGGGTCATTAGAATAATAAAGGGGAATTATGAGGCGCCTGTGACGTCAGCGGCCACGAAGCCGCCGCCGCGCTCGTTCGTTGTCCGCTTTAACTAATGAGCCCAGTCTACAACGCTCTTTGCCCATTCCCGCGGCTCATGAGTGCCGCATACAGTTCGTACTTGTATAGTTTCGTTTGATTTAATGTAAAACGCCGCTTTTCCATTCTCTCAAAAGGAATCACGCCCATTTTTATATTGTTTCTTATCCAGTTTTCTAGAGCGCACCCCATCTTTCCCACTTGTCTATAGCTCCGCGTAATTAAAATAGTCCAATTATACTGCCGTGCCAAGAAAAAATGTATGAACATTCGAGAGTTGCAAAATTTTCCGGAATTGAACACGTGCTTTTGAGGGTAGTTTTGCATATATCTCCTTGAAATTCTCAGATATTTTATATTTATATTATATTGCAAAGCAAATCGTCTGAAAAATTTGAAAGGAAAGATTCAAATTTTTCGAGTGAATTAAGTTTTTCTAAGAGGAAATACGGCAACGTCGGAAGGTTCATATAGCGTTTTCCTGTAGCAGAGCAGTATATGATGAGGTAAAGATATCGTTTTCATAGAAAATCTACAAATTTTGCAATATATTTCTTTTGTATTTTGTATTTTTAGTAACGGTAAATCATTCAACACTGAAGAATTTCATAGCCAGAACCTTTGACTCTTCGATTTTGACAGAAATTCCTCTAATTTTCATAGTAGCTCAAGGGTCCACGTGCAGCTGTGCGGCATTCAGTAGCGTTTACCAAAAAATCAAAACAGCGGTGGCGCCCTCTTCTAGGAAAATTGTTTCATTACGCTTTGCTGAAGATTAACCTCAAACATCTCCTTCCTTACCTATAGGAGGTTCTAAACGGTTTACATTGTGATTGAGGAAGGTCAAGAATAGGGTGGCAAAATTTCATGAAATATGAAATCTTGAAACTTCATATGGAATATTTCATGAAATTTCAGAAATTTAGGAAATATATTAAAAAATACCGATTTATTTTCATGTTTCGCAAAATGTAAAAATTGTCACTTTCTTCTATTTTTGTGTGTTTGAGTGCCGGTTGCACACTCTATCTCTTAAAAATTTGAAATAATTCACAGCTTCGTGAAATTTCATGAAATATTTCACTGAAATATCCAATCTTTCATTTCCTTCCTACGCTTCATATCATCCTGGTCAAGATATGTAGCCCTCAAAATAGCATCATAAAAAGGAAAAATTTCGCAAACCTCAAGGGAGGGATCCTTGCAGCAAAGGATTACAATGATTTGCGACTGGAAAAACTACACGGCACTGAGAAATAAATTCTACAAATGTGTTGTTGATAAACTGTAAGCCAGGCCAACCTGCCTTAAAATTTACAAAACTTACAACATATTTTCATGTGTGTCTTTTGTCTATCTCCTCTGGTGATTTTAGTGTTTCTAGTTCCTATCTTCTATTCCGTTTCCTTCAAAGTTTCTTCCTGATGAAAATTTCGAGCATATACGTTTGCTTTTTCCCCTTTTAAGGAATAAAGTTGATTTAATAAGTGGTTTTTGAGTCATCAACACGGAAAAAAACCTTGTGCGTGGGACCCGAAGTTTAGGTCATATGGATCTCTGAAGTTTTCAGATTGAGTATCTGAACATTTAAGGTCTAGCTGTCGAGGTTGGGATCGCACATCTGAAACTTCAGTTATTACATCTGAAGTACTTCAGATGTGAGAACCGAAGTTTCAAATGTGTGATCCAAACCTCAGCAGCTGGACCTAAAGTGTTCGGATGCTCAATCCGAAAACTTCAGAGATCCATATGACCTAAACTTTGGGTCCCACGCACGAAGTTTTTTTCTCCGTGAATCAGGCATAGACATTGTTGAATTTTACCGATTTTGAACGATTTCACTGAGCGAGTGGAGTTGTAAAAGAAAAAATGGATCACTGAAAATAGTATTTTTACGTTTGAAGTGCTACAGTGATACAAAGGTTGATAACATGACATCATTCGGATTGACATTGTCGGCGGTGTATCCACCATAGAAATTAATAATTGATAGCAGCCCGAGAGTGGAGACAGGCGTTGCGCACTTAATTTAATTTGACTCGATGCAACGATATACGATTCGATTTATCCTACGGCTTTCCGCGTAGAGACAATCGAAATCAATCGAATCGAATCGATTGTCCGAGCGCACGGGGAGGATTGCCATGGAATTCTTAATGAATTAACGACCACAAGACATAGTTAAGGAGAAACCACTCGCAAACTGGGAAAAATACGCATCATTAGCGACGTCGATAGTTGCGATTATTTTCCTTTTGTGAACCGGACTGAATTTATTATCAATTTCTTACTAGAGTTCATAAACTTGTAACGCATCGGCCAGTGGCGGGGCGTTAATGATCGATTATCGATATTTTCCCATTTGAAGCTGTGACAAAGAATCGATTATTGGCGTATCCGTCTCGAACACCCCGTTTCTCGACCCTTTTCCATAGGTTTAAATGGCAGATCAATCTATGCATCACAAAGCACGCCACGCCACTAGCAACGGCTAAAGACATTGAGCAAGACGCATTGATTGCGGTGGTACCAAATCATGGGAGATATTTTTCCTTGTTCCATGTTCGCAAATGAGTTTTCTGAGCGCCCGTGCGAACATTATATCGACGTATTCATGCTAAAAGGAACTATGCGGAAGTGGAAAGATGGGGTGTGCTCGTGGAAGCTGCATGGGAAACAATGTAAAAGTGGATATAGCTCCTTTTGAGAAAATTGAAAAGCGGGATTTGACATTGAATCAAAAGGAACTGAGCGCTAACTCGTGAGCCGTGGGCATGTGACAAGAGCCTTGTGGGCAGGGCTCATGAGTTAAAGATTGACGACCTAGTCGTCGTCGCTAGTGTCCTCACCGCTGACGTCACTGGCGCTTTTAAAATCCCATTCATTCTTATGGCCCGAGCACTAACGAGCGCACCCCATCTTTCCACGTCCCTATAGTTCTATCTCGCATAAATACGTCCATATAAAGGGTATGAAAAAAAATCTGGACTCGCAAGAGCAAAAGCTGTACGAAGAAGAAGACTCTCACTCTTACTACCAAAAAGCAAATAAAGCATTTGACCATCGGATCTTCTAATGGGTTGAATATTCAAGAGATATGATTTTTGTAATTCTGCTTCCTGCTTTGGAAAGTGGTTTTTTCTTGCTGTAATACAGCAAGTTTGTCGAGGTAAAAGATCAATAGGCCTTTTGGGGACTAAAAAGAGATTACAAGGGAGTATTAAGCAAGATTTTTTTGGGGGGAGATTCCAATAATTTTAGAAACTCCAAATTGTCCGAGCATTATTCTCAATTTGCGTGTGAGTATGTGAATTCGATCGAAATTAATATACGATGGAACGAGGTCGCATCAAGTTATAGACGGGAGAAAAAGTGTGAAGTTTAATCCCTCCAGAAGACTCGATGTTAAGGATATAGGTGAATGATCACTTTCAAGCTCAAAATATTTTTCTTCACTTCGAATTTTTGGCAGGAGAGAAGTCGAGACTAGTTGAATTCAAAACCACTCTAAATTTATTTTCCCCAAAATGATTCTTAGTGTATTTCTATTAAACACAGTTCAATTATTGACATATTTGTTGAAAAACATCACATATTTTCCTATCGGAGTATAGATTGGACGTTGTCATATCTTAACATTCTTGACCTGGTGAACATTCTTATGTTGAACTTCTGACGTAATGAGGGCGTACTTCAATTTGACTTCATTTTGCAATTAGGAACTACAATTTCTGTCTGAGTTTTAAAACAACGTATGTACCGTTAGTCTCTCTATGCTTATAAGTGGTTTTACCAATGAGCCTGAAATGTTACTTTCTAATTGCAAACAACATACATTAAAAGCGCTATTTGGACCCTATCCTTGTCGTGCACATGACCGTGACCATGTTTGTCGTTGGAAAATGTGCAGTGGTTTATCTACTAGCTAGTGAGCGTTGGATGCGCCTTCAATAGGTTTTGCAGGCAAATGTACTCGCAGGTGAGTATTGGCTGTATCTTGTTCACCCGGGCTGGAATAGGCAAGGTAAGTATGAAGTCCCTCATAAAAAGTATTAGTTGGCAAATTCCAAGCTAGTTTGTAACAAATGACACCAGTAAAGCTCGATGAAAAATCCATTTATTCATATCAATTAAGTTTTGGCTTCGGTCAAATTATCATTTTTACCAGGGCTGGTCAGCAACTATTGAAATATAGATACTCACAATGGACATTCACCATATATCGTTATGTAAGGAGGAACTACAAGTTCATGCTCAACTGTAACAACACGTATGTGCCAAGGGAAACAAATAATACATACGTTTTTTTCTAAATTAACCCAGAAATTGTAGTTCCTAATTGCAAAATGTAGTCCTATTCATCGATGATTTGCGAGAAAATCACATCGATGTAAAGATTTTTCAAAGGGGCTGTTCAAGTATAACGTAAGCCACTTCGGCCGACTTTTTGGCACCCCTCTTATTGTAAGGCACCCGTAAGACAATCTCTCGCCTCCATTTATGAAGTACATAAGATTCGCCTGAGGGATCATAGTTTCTTCATTGTTGGAAATATACCGGAAAGAAATCCGAGGTGTACCACAACTAGACCTAACAGTGTATCATTTGCTCATATTATGA